TAGGATAACTCTGATTAAGTCCACATTGGCTAATCTCCCAGCTTACTTCCTGTCTGTGTTTAAATATCCTATGGGAGTGTGCGAAGTTTTGGAAAAATTAATGAGGGACTTCCTATGGGGACCAGGGGAGGAAAAAAGGGACCATAGAGTTAGGTGGGATATTGTTACCAAAGCCAAAAGTGATGGAGGGCTCGGATTGGGTAATTTACAAAAAAAATAATGAAGCTTTAWTGGGGAAATGGCTATGAAGATTGACAAACAAAAGGGATAATATGCGGGCTCAAGTAATTCTAAGTATCCATGGGCAAGCAGTGGACGGATGGGATGCGGGAGTCTCATCTAGGGCTACAAGAGCTTCCCCTTGGAAGTCCATTCATGCTATTTTACCTTCATTCCTTCCACTCATCAGGTATGACGTTTGTTGTAGTAATTATGTGAAATTTTGGGAACATACTTGGGTAGGAAACTCACCTTCCGAAAGAGCAATTTCCAGCTTTGTTCTCCCTATCGAATTTTAAAAATGAGCYTGTTTCCACCTTTCTATCCCCTACTTTGTATGCTCCTGATTGGAACCTRGGTTTTAGAAGGGCTCTTAGAGATTCCGAGTTGAACACCATTTCTGATTTGCTTAAGATCCTAGACGAGGTGGTTATTGATCCCTCTAGAAGGGATAATAGGATTTGGGTTCCTTCCTCCTCGAGCGTATTTACTTGCTCTTCCTTTTTCAAAGAATTAACCCAGTTTCAACTGCCTTTCGAACACCCTTTCCCAGTCTTGGAAATTTGGGGTAGACCAATTCCTCCTAGAGTGGGTGCTTTCTGCTAGGAAGCATTCTTGGAAAAGTGTAACACTTGCAACTTACTTCAAAGGAAAAGGCCAAATTGGTGTTTGTCCCCACACTGGTGTATCCTATGTAAGGAGAATGGTGAGAGCTGCTATCACTTAATGGTTTTCTGTCCTTTTGTATCAGAAATCTGGTGCTGGTTTTTTCTCTCTTAGGTTGCAGGTGGTCCTCTCCTCTAAGTGTGCAAAGCTTATTTAACATTTAGTTAGTGAGAGGGTTAAAAAAGAGAGGAAGTTTCTATGGAGATGTGTAAGAGCAGCAATATGTTGAACAGGGTRGGAGGAAAGAAATCAAAGAATCTTCCTTGAAAAAGAAGGAAAAAAGGRCGCTATCATTAAGGTAGTTTCCATTAGGGTGGCTCATTAGGTTAAGACCTTGAAACTCTTTAAAGATTACACTGAAGGAGATATCATTAAGAACTGGAAGGAAGTAGCTTGGTTAGCTCCCTTGAGAACTGCCCCTTCTCCAGTTTGGGTTCCTCCACCCTTGGGTTACACTAAGTTGAGTTGAACTTTGATGGAAGCAGCGAAGGAAACCCAGGTCCTTCAGGTATAGCCTTTAGGGATGAAGAAGGTCAAATTATTGCAATGTATTCAGAGCCTATTGGATGAGGGGATTCTCTGAGGGCTGAAATACTGGCAGTCTTGGAAGGGATTAAAAGAGCATGGCAGCTGAATATCAGAAAACTGGTGGTGGAAGGTGATTCGAGCCTGGTTATTAGGTGGTTGCAGAAGGAAGACTTCAGTTTGTGGAAATACCTAAATGAGAAAAAGAGAATTAAACATTTGATTCAAAACATGGAAGTTCAGTTTCAGTGGACT